AATTTTAAATATATTATATAATTAAAAAAATTGCTAAAGTTTACCAGTAGTGATTGTCATTATACCAGCATTAAAATGCACTTTTGACCTGAATTAAAATTTAATAAAATACTGACCAGCATTATATCATAAATTCACCACTGGTGATATTTAGCAATACCCTATAATTAAAATTCTGAATTATTAAATTTTAATTTTAATTTATATTTAAATATTATTATATTAATAATTATTTAAAGTTTTATAAAAAATAATTATATTTAAGAAATAATTTATTTATCTGTTATTGTATTAGCAATACAAATTTTTATGTTTATTATTACTATTTTAAGAAAAGTAGTAATGTATAAGCAGGTTGATTAATATAAATAATTTACAAAAAAGGAAAATAGTAATGCATCATATAGGTGATAAATAAATTTACTATATATTTAAAATATGAATTTTTCTAACTATTACTAGGAGGTAATAATCATTAAAGACTAAAATTATGATGATTAACCAGCATTAAAAAAATATAGTGCTGGTAAAAATTGATAATTCTGGCCAATAGTAATGATTACTCCAGTAATTTAAAGTAAAAAACTTAAATTTCTTTAAAATAATTAAAATTTATATTATTTACAATTAATATTAAAAAATTCTTTAGTTTATTAAAATTAAAATTATATTAAATAAATTGCAATTAAAAATTTTTTTTGTAATTTAAAGTAACTGAAAATATATTTATTAATAATATGTTAAACTATTCCAATAAATAGTTTTATTTAATATCAATTTTCCTTCATTTTTGCCAAAAAATTGGATTTAAATAAACATTTTGTATTAAATATTATTGGCCAATTAGCTTTATTAATCATATGATTGTTTAAAATTTTTTGTATATTTAAAATTTTATTATGATCCTTTACTCTAATTTTTTTGTATTAAATGAAATTATTTGTTAGGGTAGCATTATTATAAACTTATATTAAAATAATGGAAAATAAATCTTCTATAATAAAAAGTGCTAATTTGCAATTTTTAAATATCTACTTGCTGTTTCCAATAAAAATTTACCATGTAATTTATAATAATTATTATTGAATAATCATTAATTTAATCATTTTATATTATAAATATTAGATTACTAATATAATATACAATAATATTATAATGGCCAAATTCAGTTTAGTTTATTAAAAAAAAAAAAGAAATTAAAATAATTTGTTTCAGTTTTATAATGTTTAAATAAAATAAATTTAATTATTTTTTACAAGAATAATTATAAAATATATAATTATTAATTTATAAAACTAAATAAATTCAATTGCTTATTTAAATAATAGGTTTAATTTCTTTTGTTTACTTGCAATAGATTAGAAGTTAAATTAAAAAATAAATTTAACTTAATATAATCTAATTTTATAATCTAATCTATATATATTACTTCAAGTATTTAACTTTATTGGGTAATATAATAATTAAATTAAGAGTGATATTTGTTTATCTTAATTATCTTTATTTGAAGACCTGAAAAAAAAAATCATTTTTGATCTATAAAATTTTCATTACTTGAGAAAAAAAATAATTAAAAAGGGGGTGGGGAAGATATAAAAAAAGAATATAAAGAATATAAAGAATATTGAGGGGTGGGTAAATTTTTGTTAATTTTAAAAATTCCTTTTGTTATTTTTCCGGCGGTAAAGTTTGACATGGGTACTAAAGTAACACTTGTTTAATAATTTAGGAAAAGATCATCTGTGTGTTTTTCAACATAATAACATCATATGACTGAATGCTACATAGTCAATAGAAAGGGTTTAAACCAAATATGGGTTAAAGCGTTAAAAAAAAAAAGTTAAAAAGGAAACAATTAAAAAATTAAATTCGGGGAAAAATTGTGTGATATTTGATATCAAGTTATGGTTTGTTTATTCACGGTAAGAACCACTCAAAAAGAAAACAAATTAGAAACAATGTTTATATTGTTTATTAAAAAAAAAATAGATTTTTTTTTTTTTCTCATCAAAGAAATTCTTTTTTTTTAAAAAAAACATGCATTATTTAGCCATTAGATATAGATATATAATTTGTTTACAAAAACGCCATGTTTCGTCGATTTTAAAAAATCATTTTCGGAATACTGCGGTCTTGCGCAATATAAACAATTCTGTCATGAGGATATAATGTTGATATTCCGCCTCATGGCACTAAAATTTTTTTAAAATATATATATATATATATATCTAAATTTATTACAGAAATTAAAAAAAATAATTCTATTAGTGGAAATAAATTTTTTAAAACCCTGAATCTTTATTTGGAGAATAAAGTCAATCTCTGCTTGGCAAACCAGCCCGCCTTTTTTTTTTATGAAACGATTTAATAATAATAATGATTTACCTTACATAAAAGATTTTTCTTTACATCACCTTTAAATAAAATAAACGTAAAATATAAATAAATATTAATTTTTTATATTGTTATAAAATGTTGTGTAAAAAATACAAATTTAATTTTGCATTTATATAAAAAATTTTTAAAAAAGATCATTTTAATAAAAAATTGTGTTTAACAGTTAACAGGTAAGGAAAAAAAAAATTGAGGTACATATTTGTTTTTTAATGTGGTAATAAGATATGGTTTAAATAAATGCATATATAGCATGGTCCAATAGGGTATCGAGGAAATTGTTGTTTATATTTATTAATGCATAAAAATTTCTTTCGCCGCAGTAAAATAATAATTTTTTTTTTATTTGAAAAAAAGAAAAAAAAAAAAGAACCACTTATAAAGCTTTATTCACCGATTTGTAACACTTTTGATTTAAATTTAAATGTTTGCAGCCTTTTTTATGAATTGTGTGAAATTAAATCGTGTAAAAATGGTTAGATCATGATTTGTGATTAGCGGCGCAGTTAAAAAAAAAGAAATTGTCGTGCAAAAATTATTTCCTGCTTAAATAAAAAAAAAAAATCATTTTTAATTTATATAATGCAAATTATAAATCACAACTTATTTACATGTTTTAAGCATAAAAAAAAGGTTTTGCTTCGAATTTGATGTTTTTTTTTAAATATATTGTTACATTTGTTATTTTTTTTTATATATATATTTTATTTTATATATAAAATAAAAATTTCCCCATTGTAAAAAATTTCCCGCCAAAAATCAACCGGACTTAATTGAATAATCACACTCTCTTCACATTCAAATAGCTACCATATAAATGCTAAGGTAACCTTATATATTATAACTCATTGGATAAAATTGGTTTTGTGCCTGAAACTAAAGAATCTCTGGTTTATATAATTCAGGGTCATGGAGTTTGATCTGCGAAAGAACGGGCTGTAATTTTCTTTGTTATTTATTTATACATCATATATTTTATGTTAGCATTGATCCCTTTCTCTAATCAACACACTCTTACCGCTTTTGAAAGGTACAGTATGCATCAATCAAGCTATAAATCAACTTTTATTATCTAGCTTATCTTTTAAGTAAAACGCCAATAATATAATCTATATCGGTCCCACGCGATCAAATAATTTTTTACTATTTTTTTTTTTTTTATCCCTGATAATTTCTAATATATATAATTTTTTTTTTTATTACAAATCCTTTTCTTTTTTTTAATGTTTATTATAAATAAATAGGTACTTTATTTATTTCCATTCACAAAATAATCCCTATAAACTGTCTCATAACCTTTTGATCTTCAACTTTGAGCAACGGGAAACAAAAATAATTTGTTTTTTGTACATGCCATCTTAAATATTTCAATTTACCGCGAACACACCATATCTAAACACAGGGATAGTTTCTTTTTTAGGTTCATCATTTCGGTTACACATACCCGAGCGACTCCATTTTGTAATCCCATTCAGAGGCAAGGTAGATAGTCACTCAACATTCAGTTTACATCGTTTCAAAAAAGATATCCCTGCACCTGTCGTCCTTCTTTCATTTTTTTTTTTTTTTACTAAAAAAAAAATTT